ATTAGAAGAAGAGAGCAAGACATAACTTATTTTCAGAAAATGTGGAAGACCAAGAAAGTTTAATCGGCTGCTTTTACAAAACAGAAGGAGAGAAAAAAAAAACCATAGCAAAATATTACAAATGGTCGAATGATGTGGTAAGAATACACACGTGCACGAGCGGAATGAGGCTACGTAATATATGAGTGACAATGATATTTTAACAATAAACAAGAACAAAAAAAAACTTACTTAGCACCGATTCAGACAGCAGAAAGAAGAACTGAAAAATGGCAGAAAGTTTTAATATGATGCTTTTTTCTATCATATCTTAACACATTCATTTCATGGTACGGTACTAAATGTCCATTATTTTTCACAAAAAAGACAACAGAAAAAAAGAACCATATAGATAAGAAAAATCAGACCAGAACAAGAAAAAAATATTAAATAAAGAAGATTAAATAGCGAAGATTTATAACAAAAACCTTGGCCCTCATTTTTCAAGGGAAATTTTTTGACATTAGAAAAGAAAAATTTAGCTTATGATGTCCGTTCTATTTTAGATCGTTTAGCACGTACGATCGATCAAAATACGCAATATCATTTAAGAAAAAAAATCAAAACAAAAAAATAATAAAGAAAAGGAGCAAACTAAACAAACACACACATTTTTTTAATATTTTCGTTTTTTATTAGACTTTTTTTTGTTAATTGTTGCGGCTGAATATATATATATATATGCGCATATATTTCTCTCTCGCTGAAAAAAAGCAAGTATGAGAAGCTTTTTTTTTCAAAAATTCGAAAGACAAAGAGTATGATGTAGAAAAAAAAAGAATGGACAACACCAATAACGAAATAAAAGTAGACACAAATAAATAAGACTTTTCATCATACATACCGTGCATTCAATGTGTAAAGTACGGCGAACAGGAATAGAAATAAGAAACACACAGAAATAAACAAATAAACAATCAGGTTGAAATTTGCTTTGATTGAAATACCAATAGTATTTTTAATTTATTTTCATTCATTCATTAAACTGTTGTGATGAGTCGAGGGTCGATACACCGTTAAAACCACCATCACGACGTAAATGATGTTCATTAGTATTAGGACGTTGATTTTGAAAATCATGTGAACGTCCTCTATAACCACCGCTGCCACGTGCACCTCTTACACCTCGAAACATCACTCGGTTCTCACGACTTCTCATTGAACGATTATTACGAGAATTGTTCATATTCATTTGTTCATAATTAGGGATTTTATTATTATGCGGGCGTCCATGACGATTCTCACCACGATGTGAAAAATTATTATTTAATGTTTGTTGTTGCTGTTGTTGATCAGATGCAGAACTATGACGTCTCGTATCATTGTCTGCCGCTCTGAGATGTACAAGGTTAGACGGACCGTTTTGATTAATTTCTGTCGACATCAAAGGCATTGGTGTTGGACTGGCTGTTTGCATTAATGTTAACTGATCAACGTTATTTACTGGACTTTGTCTTGAATGATCCGTTTTTGTCAGAGGTGATTCTGGTCTAGGAGATGTAGTTGTTGGCGTGTTGGATGTAGTCGACTTTGACGGTTGATTAGCTGTTGTACCGTTTGACATTGATGTAGTCTGCGATGTAGCCGCGTCGGAAGATAATTGTTGTTGTTGATTTTCTATTTTGTTAGCTTCTTTTCTCTTCAAAACCTC